TGTGAATCCTACTCTTCTCTTTTTCTACCTCTTGTTCCTCAATTTGATTATCTATGATATTTCCACTACTTAAGTGGTGATGACATTAATTTGCTTATGACGAGTACTTGAAAGATTAGTCTCATTAATCATGTAAGTTTGCCTGACTGGATTTGCAATTGACTGATTTGGCAAAGTTCTTTTCTCTATACGAGATAGAGCATTTTTGTTATTTGCCCCACTTGAACCTCTATCTTGGCTATAGATTGGGAATGGGAATGTACCAATTGAGTGGTAGAATCAAAATTGCTAAGTGTAGTCAAGACCTTCTCTTCAAATTTAGACCAGTACCTAAGAAGAGGAGGATCTAGAATAGCCTGGTTCCTAAATTAAGGAGGACAGTAGATAGAAGATTGATTGAAAGAATTACTTTATAAATGATTGGACGAATTGTGGTACTGTCCCTGAGATTGGGGAATAGTTTTGCCTTGGCTTTGATTCTGCCATGATATATTGGAATGATCTCCCAGCCAGGGTTAAAAATATTGGGATTTAGATTGTAGCCTAAACTGGAGAATGTAGCATTGGTTTTCATTTGTGGATTTTCAAAAGATTAACCTATAAGAGGACAACTGGCAGCATAATGAGATGGACTAGTATAGACAGAACACACCTCCTTTGGTAAAGAGGAGTGCTGAAAAGAACTAAGAGCACTGACAGCTGACAAAACTTTGCCAAACTTTCAATTCAACACTTCCATTTGAGTGGCAAGCTCTCTAAATCTTTCTGCTTCATAAAAACTTTCAACTTCAAGGATACCAGGTGTAAACCTAGACCTAGAGGAAGAAGCATGTTGTACAGAATTTTCACTTAGGGCCTCAAACAGTTCCCAATCGTCATTTGGGCTCTTATGCAGGAAAACACCATTACTAGAAGCATCTACCATGTTCCTTTGTGGATCAACTAATCCATCATAGAAGATTTGCACCAAATGCCATTTAGCAATATCATGATGTGTACACTTTCTCAGAAGATCATTGTATCTCTCCCAAGTATCATGAAGTTGTTCATTCGGGATTTGGGAGAACGCTGTGATCTCTCTTCTCATTTGTGCGGTTTTACCCACAGTGTAGTATTTATTCAAGAACTCTTGTTGCAACTTATCCCATGTGCTTATGGAATTATGAGGTAGGGAGTGCAACCAAGTTCTAGTTTTGTCATTGAGAGAAAATTAGAAGAGTCTCATCCTAAAAGCATCATAAAAAAAAGTGGTTAACTTGGTAGTTGATCACAATTCCAGAAATTCATCTATATGCTTATAGGGATTTTCAGTAGCAAACCCATGGAAAGTTAGAAGCATTTGGATCATAGCTGGCTTGATCTCAAAGTGGGTTGCATCAGATTGTGAAAATTGAAAGCAAAAAGGGGATGTATATGAGGTGGGAATGAAGTGATCCCTCAATGGTGGTTGTGGTGGAGGAACAAGTGTTTGTGGCACATGTGCCCCATTTGGATTATCACCATTATTAGTCATTTCTAATTTAGAGAATTCTCATAACAATTTAGGCTAAGTTCAATGATAACAAGTAAAAAAAAAAAATTTCAAGCAAAGAAATAAATCGAAAAGAAATCATAAAAGGTCCTAAAACCGTAACTTCTTCTCCTTAAGCTTCGTCGCCCTTTCTCCTTAATTCCTATACTTGAAAAGAAAAAGAAATAAGGTGAGATGTCAAAAAGTCCTAAAATTATAAATTAAACTATAATTAATCTAGAACTCAACAAATCCGTAACATAGTCCCCGGCAATAATGCCAAAAATTAATGTGTATTTTTATTTATCAATAATAAAATACCACTCACAATAGAACGAATCCTTTTAGGATAGGGCTATGTTGAGGGTGTCGAACCTCATGGATTGTGGTGGTTTATTGAGTCTTCAATTAATACTATTTTAATTTAGAAAGAGGATTTGATTTGTTGTGTTGTGATACAATTCAATAATATAAAAGAAAATAAATGGAATAAAAGGATTGAGATCAAGATTAATTTGATGGTTTATACTTAAACTTGATGAATTGCACTACACTTTAATTATGCTTGTAGTTAGGTAGACAATTCATACTTAAATTTGATGGTCATGTTGATTATTGCAATTAGTAGTCACATTTGGTTTACGACATAATTTTCCCCAATTAGATGAAGACTTGAGGTTTAATGCATGAGCTTAGTGGTGATTACTATACCCTAAGACTCCTCTCCTATCTCTTTCACCCTAATCATTTTAGTTTTATTACATTGTATGTTTCTAAGTTCAATTGTAGTTTAAACAAACCAAACCAACTCTCTTTACAATCTCATTAGCACTAAAGTTCGATTTGATTCCAATATGTGTTCAATCTCTTGGGACAATCCCTTCTCACTATACTTCATTGTATTAGTGTTAACTGGCTTTTATAAATTTTAAAAGGTGATGCCCACTTGGTATTTTTTAAAGTAACAACATTTTTGTGCACACGCACGGGTAGCATCAACTTGTATTTTGACTCAAGGTGTATTTAGATAATGTATTTGATGACACATGCTTGTAATATTCTTTTGGAGGGGGAAAATAACTTAGGAACTCACCCATCTATCTTTAGGAGTTCTTATGAAAATTCCTCTCTTATCTCTACTCATATAATCCCTTAACATTATTTCTCACTTTATGGATTGTAACATGGTGGCCATGACTTATGTGGTGGGATTGAACAATTATTGCATGATGTATGTAAATGGGTTCACTTAAATAGTCTAAGGTATGTTGTTAATTAAATATATTTGCACATTATTATTATTATTATTATTATTTTTTGAATGGTATACTCGGGTCGTTGAAGGGTAAATAGCAGGGACAACATTATAAATCCGTGGATATTATTGTATGATTATTCACCTTTGAATAAGGGTATATATGAATGACATCAGTTTTTCTTCAATTAATTATTTATCTATTTAATTATTTAATTATCTATTTTTATTTTATTTCTTCACGACTTGAGTCATGGGATTTTGGGCATGACATTCGCGGTAAAGTTGGGTGACAGATGGGGGACAAAAGGGCAAAATGGTCTTTATATATATTTGAGGGCAAAATGGGCTTTCGGCAATTTTAAATTGCTGACATCATCAATTAATCAATGGAAGTTTGTTTTAGGGGAAGCAAATGATATTTTGAATAATTGAGGGATAGGTGTTTGAATTTTTAGCTAACTCCTGAATGTAATTTACCCTTTGATTTTTTATGACAATTGCACGTAGTAACTTTATGCCCGCGGTAAAGGGGGTTAAGGCCCCGTTTGGGAAGTGTAGTGTGATGTAGTGTACTGCTCTAGCTTAGAACAGAACAAGTGTTTTGTAGTGTGATGTTCTGAAACGAGAACAAAACATGTTTGGTGTTCCATATTTGTTCTGAGAATTTTGAAACAAAAACATGGTAGAACATGTTTGGTAATGTATATTGTTCTAAGAAATATGAGAACAAAACATGTTTAGAAGAATAAAAGTGTAACCAAAATCACTAAAAAAAAAAATCATGAAATATATATATTTTTTAAGTGACAAATTCCAAAACTATAAGTTACCAAAAAAAATTGTTGGGTTTCCTTTGTTAAAAAATTACCAATAAAAACTTGTAAATATTACCAATAAATTTCATTGCATGAAATTAGTACGAGTGTTGGATTTTTTTAATTTAAAAATTACCAATAAAAACCTGTAAATAAAAAATTTGCTTCTTCAGTACCTTTTTACTAAAAATAGAAAAACAAATTTAATCATATATTATATTATCTAATAATAAGTCACAATTATTTTCTTTCTCCATTTAAATTTAAATTTTTTAAATTTCAGATGGACAAATATAAAAAATGAGGATTCAAGCTATTTTGATATATATATATATATATATATATATATATATATATATAGAAAAAGAAATTTTATTATATATTATATTATATAATAATAAGTCATATTATATATATATATATAATTTAAGATAATATATATAATTTAATAAGTCATATTATATATATATATATATATATATATATATATAATTGTCTTTTGTGCATTGAAGTATGCAAGAGGACAAAAATTAGCTGGATGGGGTTTTTACGAAAATAGAGAGAATTCGTTATTTTAGAGTGAGATATGCACAGTTCATTTTCCTTTTCCATTTCCATATCCATTTCCATTTCATGTTTTATTAGGAGTTAATTTGATAATCATGGTCTACGCAAGAGATTTGAAAAAATTGCAAGAGATTTGAGAATTTGGATCAAACAAAAATTCAGTTAAAAAAACGCAGACGTGGGGTTCGTCGGAATCGGCAGACGAGAGCGCACAAGAGCTTGCTGGAGTGACAGATCTACGCGCCGAAGCTTTGGGTTCGCCGGAAAACACAGAGGTGGGGTTCGCCGGAAAACGCAGAGTTGAGATAGTTCTTGAAAGAGGAGGGGGGCAAGTTCACAGATCTGCTAGATTTTGTAGTTTGCAATTGTAGAGAGAGAGGGGGCAACTTCAGAATTGAGAACGAGAATAGAGATGGAACTTCTGATTCTTTTAGATTTTGTAGCTTGCAGTTGGAGAGAGAGAGGGCAAGTCAGAGTGTTTTTTCAGAAATTAGGGCAAGTTCACAGTTGAGAACGAGAATAGAGATGGAGGCAAGTTCACAATTAGGCTGTTGTTCTAAGAATTCTTAAATATGTGTTCTAAGAATTCCTGCACTTTGGGTTGTTGTTCTCCTTTCTACAGTGAATAGTGGGCCGGCTGAAATTTGGGAACACTTTGGAACATGATTTTTTTGTTTCAGAAATTGGCCCAAAAACAGAAATTGTTCAAATACTATTGGACACAATACAGCCCATACCAAACAAGTTGGTGTTCTCAATAGTGTTCATTTGCACTGTAGGAAAGGGCATAGAACAATATGGAACATCCCCCAAACACGCCCCAAGTAATAGCCCCCAAATGGGCCACGTAGATGCTCCCAAGTCCCAATCTTCTTCATCCACTCCATTTTCTTCAAACGTTGGAAAGGAAGGAAAATAGGCGCAATCAGTGATGACGTCGCCGTCGGCATTGTTTTCTCTCTCATTCTCCTCCTCCCTCCTCCTTTCTCCTCTATCTTCCTCTCAAGACAAGAATAGTTCCTCCACAGTCAAACCCCCAAATTCTAGGGTTATTTTTCACTGTGCATTTGCATCGCCCACCACTTCTTCTTCTACGACTTCGGTGCCCAAGAGGAGGCACTGGAAGGAAGGAGAATACCCAGGAGTTTCAGAAACTTCAATTGGCGGAAGATCGAAGAGAACCCCCATAAAGAACATCAAGAAGAAGTTGGACCGCAAGAACAACGGCCGGGCTTGGGCCAACACTGTCACTGAAGCCCTGTCGGACCGCATTCAGAAAAAGCAATGGCTTGAAGCCCTTGAGGTATACGTATGCTCAGGAATTACCCTTTTTGTGTTCTATCTCTACTTCATAAGGTTACTCTCTATATATCTATCTATATGAATTACCCTTTTGTGTTTTATCTCTACTTCGCAAGCTTATACATGTACAATTGTACATGAATGACCCTTTTGTGTTTTGTTTCTAGCTATTCCCTTGAAAATTTAATCTATATATATATATATATATATATATATATATATATATCTCTAAATGTGTATGCATTTGAATTACCCTTCTCTGGAAACTTTACTATACATGCAATTATTTCTTAATTTTCTGCTAGGTTTGGTAGCACATTTGCATAGCAATGCATATTTTATAGAGCTTCCATTGATTGATTCTATTACCTTGTTTGCATTGCTGAAGACGGTATTGTCGTAGCTTCAGTCTTTTTTATTTATTGAATGATATTTGAATTAGTGCTATCATATATAAGTTTCTGTTGTGTTTAATATCATCCCTCAAAATGTATAGTGTTTGCAAATTCTTATGCAAAGACAGTTTTTAAAAGTTAACTTATAGGCTTATAGCTGAATTGAAACCATAATGGGTTTATTTCGTTGTCTTGTTGATAAGGTTTTTCCCTTTAGTTTTTCCATTTCTGTCTTGTCTCAGTTTATCAAACAACCAATGCTGCCTCAATATTTATACAAAAACTAATAGGTTTGTGTGTGTGATATATAGTTTGGTTTAGACTTTCTTTTTGGATAGGTAAGACTCACAACCCCCAATGCACTAATACACCCACTATTGTCCCAGTGGGGACTTGAACCCTCAACCCCATGTGGGAGGAGGAGGAGATGTCACTTGAGCTAGGCCCTTGGAATGACAGTGCTCCATTTGAATTTTCAGGTATTTGAAATGCTCAAGGAGCAGCCTTTTTATCAACCAAAAGAAGGGACTTACATGAAGCTCCTTGTTCTTCTTGGGAAGTCTGGCCAACCCCAACGTGCCCGTCTACTTTTTGACACAATGATTGAAGAAGGGTTAGAACCCACCTCAGAACTTTATACGGCCTTGCTAGCTGCTTATTGTCGTAGCAATCTAATTGATGGAGCATTCTCAATTCTTGACCATATGAAGACCTTACCTCTCTGCCAGCCTGATGTTTTTACATACAGTATCCTGATCAAGGCTTGTGTTGATGGTTCACTATTTGAATTGGTTGAGTCCCTATATGAGCAAATGTCTGAACGATCAATAACCCCAAACACTGTCACCCAAAACATAGTGTTAAACGGCTATGGAAAGGCTGGAAAATTTGACCAGATGGAGAATGTGCTCTTGAGAATGCTTGAGAGCACCACATGTAAGCCTGACGTATGGACTATGAACACTATTCTTAGCTTGTTTGGTAACAAGGGTCAGATTGAAATGATGGAGAGATGGTATGAGAAATTCCGCAATTTTGGAATTGAGCCAGAAACACGCACTTTTAATATTCTGATTGGTGCTTATGGGAAGAAAAGGATGTACGACAAGATGTCATCAGTAATGGAGTACATGCGTAAGCTTTCATTTCCGTGGACAACCTCAACCTACAACAATGTGATTGAGGCATTCTCGGATGCAGGCGATGCAAAGCATATGGAGTACACATTTGACCAGATGCGTGCTGAGGGTATGAAGGCAGACACCAAGACCTTATGCTGCCTTATTAAAGGATATGCTAATGCAGGCCTTTTTCATAAGGTGGTCAGTACAGTCCAGTTTGCTGGGAAGTTGGAGATACCAGAGAACACCTCATTTTATAATGCAGTTATTTCTGCTTGTGCAAAGGCAGAGGATTTGATGGAGATGGAGAGAGTTTTTAAGCGAATGAAAGATAAGCAATGCCCACCAGATTCCACAACTTACTCCATAATGGTGGAGGCATATAGAAAGGAAGGTATGAATGACAAGGTCTACGATCTGGAGAAGGAGAAACAGATGATGGCTGCTAATGGTCCTAAAAGTAATGAGGAAATAGAAATGGAGGCTTTAGTTGATATCTAATTGAGGGCTAATGGTGTGACTGCTTTCTATTAGTGTCCAAGTTTTGTATAGGACTTATGGCTAAACTGATGTCCTGCATGCCACAATGGGCTTATCAGTGTAGTTACTAATTGATCTGGTCACCGGGCTGTCACTTCCTGGGTTGGATAACTGCAATTACAGACGCTTCCGTGTATTATGTGAAGCATTGAGGTTTCCTTTGAATAAGCAAATTGTCCAAGTGAACTATTTCAGCGTCTTTCATGTATATACAGTGTTCATGTTTTGATCAAGGTGATGTTTGCCTTTCTCTGGACCTGTGGGTTTTTCTTTTTTTAGAAAGAGTCATCTGTTCCCGTGAAATACCAATTGTACTGTTATTGCTGTTTTTTACTTTACTATGTTTGTTCAAAGAAGGAATGCATGACTTCGGATTTTCATGGTGTTCAGATCTGCTTGCATTTATGCTGTTGCATTCATTATTTAATGTGTGTCCATTCACGAACTCTGCTTCTGTCATCATTTTAAGTTTTAATGCTGACCTTGGTACATTATTATTTTTTTAAGTAACAGCTACCTTGGTACATCATAAGCAATCATGTCATGTGTAGAGCAAAACAGAAGCAGGAAATGTCTAAAGTCTTCCCAATTCTTACTCCTCTCCTCTCTCTCTCTCTCTCTCTCTCTCTCTCTCTCTCTCTCTCGCACACACACAAAAACAAACAAACGCGCGTTCATGTTCTAACTTCTAATGGCTGACTTACATTGTTCGTGTATTGGGTATCTATAATAAAACTACATCTTTTTCTTTGCTATGCCAACTTCTTGATTATGTTTTGAACGTTTAATTTTTTTTTGTGGTGGTAGTTGTCTTGATGAGGCATCTGCATTCAACTCTAGTTTGTGTTGAGGGCAACTGTATTCTTTGTAGTCCATTTAATTTTTATTATCTTTTGTATTGGTTAATCCAAGCATGATCTTGTACCTAAGAAATCGCGTGCAAGAATGCTTGCAGGTAATTAACCACCTTAAGCTTTCACCTAGAGGTCCTGGATCTCATAAGATTTCTAGTATCAATAACACTCAGCCTCTCTAGTTAGTCTCTTTTGTCGTCGCACACTTGCATGGGAAGTTAGGTTGCATTATATATATTCAGTCCTCTATTTTATTTATTTTTTTTTTGGCAACTTATCTGACTTTGGTTATGATGTCATCTATGTTCTAAATGGATGTCAATTGAAAGCACTTGCTGTGTGCCATGGGACTGTTGTTATGCACAAAAGGAAAACTGTAACTAATAGGTTGCAGGAAGTAATGGGAATGTTCATGTTAGGTATCTGCCTTTTTAAGGAAACTATCTGGGCTTAATGGTGGAACTCACAGTCTATCTTACAATGATAGCACCACCAACCCATTTGGCCTAAATTGTGTTCTCTTCCATGAAAAATTTCCAGGCAAATCCTCTCATGAAGCTGAGATTAGGTGGATTACTATTTTGGATGGTTGTCAATAATGGTCTTGCAACCACTTGGGTGACAGAAAGACATGTAATTTAGATGAAAATGGAAAACAACTGAGAGCCTCTTCTGAAAAATGAATTCTGAGTAGGAATAGCTCTTTAAGAACACATGTGCTTGTTTCATGGTTTCAAGTTTAGCGGGTAAAGTTCGCGAGCTACTTTAAGACATCCATGACCTGGGTTTCCGATACTGTTAAGTAATACTGTGACTGCATCCTCAACTTATGACATCCAAGGTGACTAAAATGAGTGTGTCAATAGAAACATTTCTTGTTACTTCATGAAGCATGGCATTCCTTTTCTATTTGATGCATTTTACATGACATCTATGTGTTATTAAAAAAAAAATGCTTGTTTCTTTTCTCTGGAAAATTGTCCATTTGCTTCTGATGTATAACCATTCTTGTTTATGCAGTAATGTTCCATAGTATTGATTTGTTTATGTAAAATGATTAAAGACACAAAAATTCTATTAATTTTATGTTCTCTTTTCAGATATTGATGCTGTCTAAATAAATCTTCATGTCACACTTGATGAAGAGTACAATTTTAATTCTATCCATATTAAAGGAACCCAAGACAGATATTTCAAATGGTCATTGTATTAGTTCTTATGACTAGACAACAATGACAATCTCTCTGTTCTTTTTCTTCTTTTTTTACCTCCTTTGAAAATTTAGTTTCCCGACAGAATATGCAAAAAGAGAAGCAAATAAAAGAGGGAAGATGGTGAGAATGACAGTCACAACACCTAATCTATCTTGGTAATATCCAAAATAGTCTTGTAAGAAGGAATTGATTGCTTTTCTTTCTCCAAATGCTGTTATTTCTTGTCTTATGTTCCCATATTGTGATGTAATGATAGCATTTAGGGACCATGATGTTGGTGAAATCCAGTAGCACCACACCCACCACTTAGGAAGAGCCTGCAATAAGACAGCATATCAGAATAATATTACCATCTACTCCATCAATCTTGATGAATCTCTATAAAGAAGTATATTTTATATAATATATATATATATATATATATATATATATATATATATATATATTTTGATAAGTATTTTTTATATAATATTTAGCAAACTCTTACAAATCAATTTCAGATAGATGATTATGATATTATCATAGCATTCTGCAGTTGTGGTCTTTATTCACTAATTTTTTAATAATTCTATTGAATCTAAAACCAAAAGTTTGTCCAAATTGCCCCTTTTTTCTTTTTATTATGCGATCCAATTTTCCGGAGTTCCACTGAATTAACTAGTTTTTACACTTGTAATCAAAATAATCAGGATTAGATGACTTTTCCAATTCTCCCTCAACTTGCAGGAAAAAAAAGGAATTAAAAATAAAATGAAAACAACTAAATAGAACTGCTGAGTTATTTTTCACTTCAAGGTTTTATCCTTAATAAAAAATGGACAGCTTGTACAAAACTCGGTTGAAACTGTACTTACTGATGAACGTAGCTTTTACGACTGTTGCTGTCGGTCATTTGATGTCTCATTCATTAACTAAATAATCAATTAATATTGTTAAACCATAAGGCATAAGCACAGGAGAGATATGGAATAGAGTAGTTGACTCACCGGTTCTGGTATTAGGAATCCTGAGAATAGATTAAGAATGGTGTAGCTTGCTGTTGCCAATATGGAAGCTACCTTTGCATTTGGGCTTAGTGACACAACAAGCATTCCGAGGTAAGTGTAGTAGAGCAGTGTGCAAAATGTTGCATAGAAGTACCGGACTACCTTGTCCACTGACCAGTAGAACCCTATTGCAGGATAGGTAATGATCACAAATAGAACTGCTTGTACTAATATGTAAGGAAATTCAATGGTCACCTATAACAACAAAGGAATGAGTGTCATGATTTCTATGGAAGCCGTGAGAAGCCTTCATAAATAGAAGCCAGTCAGAGTAATATAGTTGTGCAGGGAAAAAATGAGAGTAATATAGCTGTATGTCTATGATTACTCTTACTTGTGCAAATGAGTAGGCCCATGATGAGTACATTCCAGAAAACTTCTCACGGTACAGGACAGATTGTTCCCTTGACACAACTGGTATGACTGATGAACAATTGCTCGTGCCTAACAATTGCAATACCATGGACAATGATGATATTATGTTGAGCATGCCCTGCTCATCATGTCTTCCAAAAAAAGGAAATTGGAAAGAAATATCACTTTGTTTGTTTGTTTAGTTCGGTACAATAAATAGTGCTTTACTTCCAATACTATAGAGATATAGCTGTATTAAGATATTAGAAAGATTGGTGTTTCTTATGGCCTTCCATTTCTCTCTGTACTGAATTTGTTGTATTAGGACAAGCTATGATTTCCCATTGGCTAGCAAGTTATATATAAAGGCGGATTAAATATAATAAAAGAACCATCCTTTCTACACATTTTTGGTGTTTTTCATTCATGCATTTAAGTTCACAATATAAATGGGTGACTTACATTTTCATCCCTTTCTGCCACATAAGTACTCCCAGGAACACTGATGAAATGATCATAAAGCTGAAGCGTGTGAAGTTGTATGCTGGACTTCTCCAATATGATAAATTTTGTTTCCAGAGGCATGCTTTATATTGCTCCCATGAGTTGCGCGCGAAACGAGTTGGAAAATGCATTTTTCTTGTGCCTGCTGGTGGCTTTCTTAGTTGCTTAATAAGTTCTGTGTTTTCTCTGCAAGCAAAGGAGATCTGGTAAGGTAATCTAATGCAAATCATTAGCATCAACATTGGTCAGAAAAATATAATGATATTTGTCATTTCAATTGTAGTCCTTGTTTTAATGATTGATGAGCAGTATAAGCATACCTATTTCACTTTCTGCAAGATGAATAGATTATAGACAAAACAGTTCACAAATAGAATGATTATACAAACTCATTCAATTGTAATACTCACCTATACTGCTGAGACTCCTTATAAACTTGGGCAAAATTTACACCAATTTGTGCCTCTACAGATTCTGTGGTGATGTCTAGCATCCATGTTGCTGGATTATAGTTTTTTTTAATCTTTGGGATGCCAGGAATTCCCTGTGACGAAGGGAATGGATGGTCATTATAGATCATGGACATTATATCTTGAGCTTAAATTTCATTGAAATTACATATCTGTATTATTAGTACTGTATTGCTAACTGACCTCAAAATAATCAATAAGATTACTTGAATGCTGACCCAACGGTCCTGAATAAATAATCTGTCCTCCCTTCTTCATTAGAATCAACTGCACAGAGAGTAACCTATTACTGGTACTTCTTGTTTTTAGGGTTTCATAAACAAAAAATATGCCGTTGTTAATTTAAGAGAGCAAATTTCTTTGGGTGCATAAAACAATTAATACTTGAACAATGAGGACTGTTGAGTACCGGTAGTTATATAAAATCTTAAATTTTAATAAAAAAAAAAACCTTAAGATTTTCAGAATAATTAAATCTTCCATGATACAACAGAGAACAGCTGATCTTCCAATGCTGACCGTAAAAGTTGTCATCAGCCATCTTGTTGGTTTAGTTGTACACAGTTGGGAAATCTTCCTGATGTGGTAGGGGACATCTGATCTCTCCAAGGTGATAAATACATTTTTTGATAAGTAACAATTCATTAAAAGCACTCAAGAGGGTTGCACGCCCAAGGAACAAAGCATACGAAAAAAAGAAAGTTATACAATCAAGCTATCTACAAACTCCAAAGGACCCCCCACATATTTCCAATATGATTCTTATATATTTGTTGCAGACAAATTATGTCATCTCTGCAATTCTATTTTAGCCAGTTTTGTGGTTAGGAAATTTGTTACTATTTGTAACCATTTAGCAGAATTCGTTCACAATTTCCTTAGATTTAGGGGCTTTGTGACCCAGTAGTGTCCAACCAACATTAGCTTATTCTTGCTGGAATCACCTTATGAGTGTTTTGCCTATATGTCGAGTGTACTGTTTCATTGCTGTAAAAGCCTGTATTCATAGCATGATTTATTCAACTGCATTGGAAGACAAAGCTGGTTGAATACACCCTTGAACCTTTTCTGATAATTCTATTTGTTGCTGAATAAGATATAGTAATCAGTAAAGAATTTTTTCATACCTCATCAAATGCCTCAAATATATCAATGCTTGGCTGGTGGATGGTGCACACAACTGTTCTTCCTGTGTCAACTACATTTTTCACCGCACGCATAACAATTGCAGCTGCTCTAGCATCCAAACCTGATGTGGGTTCATCCATAAATATGACTGAAGGATTAGAAATAAGCTCCACTGCTATGGTTAGTCGCTTCCGTTGCTCATTTGATAGACCACTTATGCCAGGGATGCCGACTAAAGCGTCTTTAATTGCATCAAGTTCAACTCTTCCAAGTACATCCATTATGAATTCCTGCACGTGTTCTACATCAGTTGAGAAATCTCTCTCTCTCTCTCTTATTTATTTATTTATTTTGGGTCAATCACTCCAGAAATCTCAGAAAGCCAGATGCATTCTAGTTGCTTTTGTACCCCGAGTTTGGTAGTTCAAAAATGGATTTGCCACAATATTGCGAAGTGGCTGCCCTTGCTTAATTGGGCAAGACCTTGATGTTGCGAATCTGGTGGTACTCAATAGAGGTGTAAGGCTTACAGAAGTACTGAAACAACCACAATATGAACCAGTTCCAATTGAAAAACAAATTCTAATTTGTGCAAACTGCGGAGAATGCCAGGTATTTTGTGTTGGCATATTATGTATTTTTACTCCCTGCAGTTTAATCTCTTAGTTAAATGCGAGTCATACTGTCTTGGCTATCGAAATGGCAAATGAAAATTTTTCAATATAGAATGTGTTATCATTTTCTTATGCTAAACTTAATGTGTTTTGAGCACCGTATATGAAGTATACCGATGATAATAAACTAGTAATTTTATATAAAACTTGTGATGGACTAGTGTGATATCCTAATCCTAATATTTAATTAGGCCTTTTAATCATGTTTAGTGATTCTTAATCGTGCTTAGTGGCTCTTTTTTTTTTTAATTAGTAAATCGTGCTTTGTGGCTCTTAAACATGCTTAGTGACTCTTAATCACGATTAGTGACCTTTAATCATGATTAGTGACATTGGGTATAAAGTATGATTTATTGAAGTTATGGGATTTTATTTGGAGGCCTTTGTGTGGTTATTTAGTTGGTAGGGAGAGGTTGCAATAATCCGAAATCTGTCTTAGTGGCAGCAAAGCCATATGAGTCTTCCTAACACCTGATCTTATATCACAACCCAAGAGACACATGACTCTGCACAACCTTACACCTGTTGCTGCGTTCCTTTTGTTACAGCACAAACCAAAGGAAAAGAAAGAGAAAAACAAGAGGGAGAGCAAGGAAGAAAGGGAAACAGGAAGAAAGTGTAGGATTCCTTCTTCATAGTATCTTCATCACTCTTGCGTTCTTTATAGCTTGAATGGCTGGGAGTGATTTTGCTTCAAATCTCTTTATTGACTGTGAAAATAATTGTTTTGCTTAAATTGGATATATGTATTTTGCTGATATATTCACAGGCATATGTATAGTTTGTGAAGCTTATTATTCATGAAACCTCCTTGAAATTCTTGTTATGGTTTTTCCTATTGGGACTTTGTCTCACCCCACCATTTTTAAGGTACAAAGGTCCAAGTGGAGGAGTTTGCATGCTGATCTGTTTTGATATTTGGAGCTTACCTTAACCATGTGTTTTAGGTTGTAAGCTGTTTTGTGAGGTAGTGCATCAGAGTAGCGCAACGGTCATTTAATGTATGATACATATATTCTATGAGGATCATTTGATGTAATTGAGGATTATTAATGAAATTGATGTTTTTGAATTCGGGTTGTTACAACTAGATTGGCCTGCTTCCTAAAAGGACATTGTTCATTTATGAGCTATTAAGTGTCACATAATATTGCCTTTGGGCTTGAGTGGTAAAGGGGTGAGATGAGTTTGGGGTAGGTCTTGCCAAACAAATGTTATAAATAATAATACATTTTATGACATTTCCAAACAGTGAAAACATGTCTTTGAAATATTCAAGGCATTAGCTTGTAACTAGATTTTATGTAGTTATGCACTAGTAGAGCATTAGATCAATAGGCCTTTGGTCGGCTTATAATAGGAGGACAACCTGGAATGTTTGATTTTCCAGGCTTTTCAAGATTGGGAGTTGGAGGATGTTTTTGGGTTCTTGGATTTGCTTCAAGAGATTGTGGGTGAGGGAATGGATTATTGTGTCTAGGTCGCTTCTATGCAGGGGAGATTTGTTGTGTACTCTTTCTACAGGTGTCTCATGGATGGTTGAGGGCCTTCTTGTCGTCAGGGGCTTATTTGTTATTACTTATATAATATTGGGGCTTATGTGTAATTTTTGAAACTTATTAGTATAAATAGAATGTGGTTGAAGGATGAAAGAATTCTTTCTTTCTTTCCCCATCTCTCTCGCTCTATTTCTCTCATCCTCTTTCTTCTCTTTTTCTTCTTCTTCTTCTTCTTCTTTTTCTTCTTATACTTTACTCTTGATTTGATTATATCTTGAAGTCAACATGCTATCGAAGCATGGTTTGTAAAGGTCTAGGTGTGTAGTTGAAACCCTAGGGCAAGTTTGTGTAAATCCTAGTGGGTGTGAAGGGTTTTGAAGAGATTCCAAGATGGGATTTGTTTGCAAGGAAGTAGTGTTAATCACATCCACACTTACCGCGGATCCAACTTGGGATTTTTGGACTTGTTTTGATCTGTTGCAGTCTCGATTGGTGTTTTTTACGTGTTCGTGTGGTTCTGCAATAGTGGCTTTTTCTTCGTCGTTCATGATTCTGGTATGGTCTACTTTGTTGCTTTCTAGGGTTTGTGTGGTGACTGTGTAGTTGCTTTTTTATGCATCTCATAAGACGGTAATCTTTCTAGTTGAAGTTTGTGTGTCAGAGAGGTGGTTCTCTACATATTTTGTTGCTGCTTTTGTTTTTGAGGATTGTATACCTAGAAACTGTTTGATAAAATGTCTGGCTCAGAGGTGACTTCAAAAGAAGCTGGGTCTTCTCCTACTTATCAAAAAAAAAAAGAAGCTGGGTCTTCTCGTAGTCTGACTCCAGTATTGGGAGGTAGTAGTGATCACAATCCAGGCATTTGTATTTCCACCATTAGGTTGAATGAGACGAACTATATGGATTGGCCTTTTTTTGTTTTTTGTTTTTTTTTGCCTGGACGGTTGTTCTAGGGAAGTTTCTTACTCTGGACAACCTCAGAAGGAGGAATCAAATTGTTGTTAATTGGTGTAATATGTGCAAGGATACGAGGAGACGGTTGATCATATTTTGCTGCAATGTCCTGTGGCCCAAGACAGTTGGGGGCCTTCTGTTGAGTTTGTTTGGGGTCCATTGGGTTTTGCCTAGGTCCTCTAGGGATTTGGTTGAGGCTTGGAGAGGATATACAGTGGATGCCCAAGCCCGCAACTTTTGGAGGCTAACGCCACTGTGTGTTTGGTGGTGTTTATGGACATAAAGGAATAGGAGATCCTTTGACAACAAGGAGATCCCTATTGGAGCGCTAAAGTTCTCTATTCTTTGTTCTCTTTTTTGTTGGGTTTTGGGGAGAAATTGTAACTCCACGGGGTAGAGAGTAGCTTTTTTGGACTCTTTGAGAGTTTAGTGGCTTTTTTGGATCTGTTTCCGGTTTGAATACTTTCTAATACAATCTTATTTATCAAAAAAAAAAAAAGAAAAAGAAAAAAAAAAAACCAATAGGGTGTTGGTTGGGAAATTCTGTATAAAATGGAGTCTGTAATCTTGATTTTTATTTTTTATTTGTTTATTAAAAGTTAGCTAAGTTAGTTGAGTTACCTCTATCTTAGGGAAAATTGGTGAAATTTAAAGCTAGAAGTAAGGGCAAAAAGGCAATTATCATCTCCAACGGAATTTTCTTTGGGGTGGAAGGGGTGATGAGTTCAAGTATCATCTTGTCAGGTGGGAGCATGTTTGCAGGCCGTTTCAATTGGGGGGGCTTGGTCTTAGGAGGATGATCCCTTTTAATAGGGTGCTTCTTGGGAACCGGTTATGGAGATTTGGTAGTGAGAGACATCGCTTATGGAAGAGGGTTATAGTGTGCCGCTTTGGGGAGGAGAGAGGGTGATGGTCTTCCAGGCCGGTGAGATTTGTTGCCGGTGTGGGAGTGTGGAAAGCTATTTGTAAGGGTTGGGATGAGTTGTCTAAGCATATTAGATTCAAAGTTTGGGAGGGCAGGGATGTTAGGTTCTGGGAGGATTGTTGGTGTGGGGATGTCCCCCTGTCCTGGTTGTTTCCAAGACTTTTTAGCATTGTTGCGGATAGACATGCTATGTTAGCTGACTGTTATCGGCTTGATAGTAGTAGGCTTACGTGGGATGTGCGTTTTCGGTGATCTTTCCAGGATTGGGAACTTGAGGATGTCCTTGGCTTGTTAGATCCTTTGTATGGACAAGATGTGGATGGTAGAGGGCTTGATTCCTTGGTTTGGAAGCCTTCTCCTCAAGGGAGGTTTGATGTTCGCTCTTTTTTTCTTTGCCTCGCTGGTTTTCAGGGTACTAGCTTCCCGTGGAAGACGGTTTGGCGTTCAAAGCTCCTCTTAGGGTGTGACATTTTTTGCTTGGATTGCGGCTTTGGGTAAAATTTTAACTCTGGACAATTTGAAAAAGAAAAGACAGATCATACTCAACTGGTGTTGTATGTGTAAGAAGGATGGAGAATCTGTGGATCACCTTCTTTTGCATTATCCTATGGCTTATGATTGCTGGAGCCTTTTTTTGGTTTGTTTGGTATTCATTGGGTTTTGCCTCGTCTTCAAGGGAGTTGATTGATAGTTGGAGGGGCCAAAGGGTGCGGGCTCATGCTCATGATTGTTGGAGGATGATTCCCCTTTGTGTTTGGTGGAGCATTTGGAAAGAGCATAACAAAAGATCTTTTGAGGGGGAGGAAACCCCTATTGGGACGCTGAAATTTTTTATCATTAGTTCCCTTCTTTGCTGGGTAATGGGAAGAAATTGTATATCTCTAGATGAGATAGTGGACTTTTTGGGTTCGTTGGGCTCTATTTTTGGGTTTGTTTTGTTTTGTTTTTTGTTTTTTTTTGTTTTTGTTTTTGTTTGGTTTATTGTATTTATATTGGGATGTGTTTCCCTCTTGAACGCTTTCTAATACATTTTAGTTATTAAAAAAAATTAAAAATTGGGCAAAAAGGCAATTAGATTTCTCACTTATGCAGTCACCCAAATAGGATTCATGATTTATGATTCATGTGTGTCATTTCATTACACATATTAGGTGTTTTGAAATTATGTGTGATCCACAAAAATCCTTTTTAGGATGCCTAAAATTGTTTTAGAAAGTTACTATTTTAGAAATCCTTAA